ATGCAGAGGTTGCGCCCCCTCTAGCCAAAATCAGGCAACATTTCTTGCATGTAAACAAACGGTTTAGAACATATATACATACGTACAGCTGCTTGTGATTGGCACTTGGCAAGCTAGAGAGAGAACGACGATCCTCTCCTGCTGTCTTATTCAGCCAATCACAAGCAGCTATACGCATGTATATATGTTCTAAACCGTTTGTTTACATGCAAGAAATTTTGCCTGATTTTGGCTAGAGGGAGCGCAACTTCTGTATCGGCTCGGAGCGAATACTTAAAGAGGATATATTCTATATTCTCTGATAATGTGTAAGTTATTTTTCATCAGAGCTTAGGTTACATATATCTGCTCTGTTCCCCCACGACCGCCACTCGTGGACACGACTTTACCTTTATATAAGGAAGGGGGCCAACCAATCAGAGGCGTGTAAGAGAGAGAAAGGTTGTACTGTTATTTGTCTTTTGTTTCTCTCATCTCGTCTCGCGGTCGGAGCATACAATGCTTCCTCCATGTATATATTCTCTAAGATGAGACCCAATACCCAGGGATGGGCGTGCCGTTTATGTCACGTCGTATTCAATTTACAACACGTCATTTATCATGCTTACGACACATAAAAAACGAGTTTATAACATTTATAAATGTAGTGAATTTACGGCACGTACCGCGAAAATACCATTTTTTTTAAATAGTAAACAAATTAATTTAGGGAAAATTACAAAAATGCTTCCTGGTTGACGTATAATTGTGATAATAAATATTTATTTCAAAATATCTTACCTTTCTGGATTCATTATCCTAAAATCTGGGTACAATTTTAACTTTACTAACAGACGTAGCAGAAACAAAAACGTTGTATTGAAAGTGTATGATCGATTTTATGCTTCTTTTAAAAGCAACTATAAATTTTAAATCTATAAAAGTTTTATTAAGTTTTCATAACCAAAAATTCACTTTTGGGCAACCTGTGTCATTTGTTACATAAATGACATAAATTACATAAATTACACATGGCGTGTCGTAAATACCGACTGAACAGATTTACCTATCCCTGCCTATACCTTCCCTGCTCTATTTATTATATCTCTATGCCTGTGCATACTCTGATGCTCAGGAGCCGTACCATATAATTTTTTTTAGTTTCGCGGGCCTATGTTATAACACAGGCCGATGTACATAAAAATAGTTATATGGTATGGCCCCAGTCCAGTACTACTGTAGTTGTAGTGCCAGAGGGGGTATTGCGTAACTTCTACACCACGCCACGGTCGCCACGCCACAACTTGACGTCACGTTACAATGCATAAGTAAATAGTAACGTACCGTCAGTCTGTGGTGTGGCCGTGTGCGCGGTGTAGAAGTTACGCGATTCCTTTTCCCCCCAGTAGTATACGCTCTCCTTGTGTGTAACCGCCTGTGCTGCTGCCCGTGCGGCCACCTGCGGAAATGACCTAATATATTTAAACAAAGCCAAATTGTATTGCAGATGTTGGAGCAAAATCATTTAAATCAAACTGATTATTATTTATGAATATTTGAACGATGAAAGTGGTATTTATATGAAGGGAAACGTATGTTAAATGAAACAGAAGTATAATTTTGCTCAATCCTTAAGAATTTTCAATTTTCCTTATCATTAAGATAAAAATAAAATTTTTTCTCTTTTTTGAGGTTGTATGCTGTCAGTGCTAAGCCGAATGAGATGTAGATTACCTTAATGATGTAAGAAAGGTATGCATGCACATGCAAGGAGTCATACTTATCTCTTGACATTTCTTACATCATTAAGGTAATCTACATCTCATTCGGCTTAGCTCTCAAAGCACACAACCTCAAAAAAGAGAAAAAATTTTATTTTTATCTTAACTACAAGACACGATTGAGCAAAATTATACTTACATTTCATTTAACATACGTTTCCCTTTATATAAATATCAATTGTATCGTTCTAATATTGATAAATAATAATTAATTTGATTTAAATGATTTTGCTCCTATGTCTGCAATACGATTTGGCTTTGTTTACATACACTAGTTCATTTCCACAGGTGGCCGCGAGGGCAGCAGCACAGGCGGTTACACATAGCGGATATCGTACACCGTGTGTCAGGCTTAGGAAGGATCGTGATTGTACAGTTTGTAGTTGTACCTATTTAGTTGGTGGTTTGACAGGAAACCAGTTATGATGAAAAAGAGTCAAGTAGAGGTATAAGCTCCAAACCATGAGTGGCTTCACTGTACTTAAATATTGCTCGTTAGTTTGTTCAATTTGATGTTAACCATAATTTTTAGGAAAAGGGAAGTCATACAAATGATTCTGACGTGGATGAGGAAGAGACTGAGCCTCTACTAAAATATGTGCGGATGCGTAATGATGTTGTTAATATTTTACAAAAAGATGCTGCTAGCTGCATTGTTGCTCATCCTAAGGTATTCTAATATTAACTAAAAGTGATGAGAAATGTGTATGTTATGAAAATTAAATTTCATTTTATTTTTGGATACATTTGTCTGGGCGTTGCAGTTTTTATGTTTGGGCTCACATTGGGGCACAATTCATATACTTGACCATCAAGGTAATAGTATCAGATCGAAGAGTCTCCAAGCACACACAGTGGCTGTGAACCAAATATCTATTGATCAGAATGGTGACTTTATAGCTTCGTGTAGTAACGATGGAAGAGTTTTTATTTATGGACTGTACAGCACTGAAAATAACCACAATATAAGCACTGGTCACTGGGTTAAGAGCATAGCTATTGATCCACTGTATTACAAAAGTGGCAGTGGAAGAAAGTTTATCATTGGTCATCCCCATATTTCCATGCATATATTACTTCATTTGTGCATTAAAACAAATTTTTTTTACCTACTGATTGTTTTCTGTTCATAGGAAAAGACCAATTAGTTATGTATGAAAAAACTTTTTTGTCTCGCATAAAATCAACTGTTCTGTGGGAAGCAGAAGGAAGCGTGCGTGCTATAGCATGGGCTGGACACTTTATTGCATGGGCCTCTGACACTGGTGTAAGAGTATATGATTTGAATGATAGAAGCTCTCTAGGACTAATCAAGTGGACTGAAAGTTCAGAGTAAATTAAATTCAATTAGTAGTGCAAACTACACAAATGTTTTTTTATTTCAAAAATATTTTTCTCAGCAATTTTGTTACTCTCTATAGAATTTGTTAATCTTTTAATTTATAGAACAGTGCCAGATCAGTATAGATGTAATCTCATGTGGAGTAATGATAGAACTTTATTGATTGGATGGGTAGATACTGTCAGAATATGTCGAATAAAAAAGTGTTTTAATCACGAATCAGGGAATCGGGATTTGTCATCATTTGTTATAGAACCAGGTAAAAAGCTTTATATTCTGAAAATACGACCCTAATGTTGAATCGCTGGGTATGTCTCCATGCACACTTCAAGCCAGTGAAATTGGACCAAAAAAAAAAATTTGCAGATGCCATTACGCACAGGTATATAGTTTAAAGTCTTTATACGCATAGGTTTGGAATGTTTTTCTAAAGTTGATCCCAATTTCAAAGTGGCAAACAAGATTAAATAACATTTTTGTGTGCTGAAATCTCTGACAAAAGTAGTTTGTAATTTGCTCCTATCGTATTTTTTAGTTTGCAAAACCTGATTGTAGAAAACGTGCAGATAATAAAAATTCAGTGAAATTGAGATCGGTTGGATCCAACCCGATCAAAAATTGTAGAGTAGTGAGCTTCGAGGGAGTGAGGAGACATCGCAGGAACTGCTGAATGGTCAGCTGCCATTTGAGGCTCTTGGGGACCTTAGTCATATATTTGTACCTATGTTTGTATCCATACATATATTATATGTTTTTTTTTTTTATATTCATCATCGCCCCCTAAGGGGTTCAGACATGGGTATTTTGACACTATAAAGTGTATTTAGCCATACGTTGGTTAATTAACGGTAGGTGTGAAACGGTAGGAAAATCGTTAGGTTTCAATGAAGCTCAAGTTTCCTCCAGAAAAAAACCTCATTTATTAATAAAAATTTTTGTACAGAGTGGGATTTGAACTCCGGCCATCAAGATCTGTAGGTAGTCACGTTACCGCTAGAGCTATCATGTGGCTTCTACATATAT